CAGATGACAATGGGTGGCAGTTTCTTCAGGTGAGAATACTGACTGAGGCACGGAGAGGCAGGAAGCATATTCCAGCTGGCAGGCTTTTCACCACTGATCACCAGATGTTTACTCAAAACAATGTCAGAAACTTCCACGCCAGCAGCTGAAAACTCTGCTCCCTGCCTGATTCCAGGTAACATTCCATGCAATGCAGGAGTGCCTCTGCTGCCATAAAGGGTGTCATCTGCTGATTGTCCCCAGGTAACTTTATGGCATCTATCCTTCCAAGCATGATCATTCCGTAGCTGCCATCATCTCTCCACTAAGGAGTGCACATATCTGAGGCACACAGTGAGAGCTCTGAAGAAACAAGTAGCTCTCTAAACCCATCATCATATACCACCAGAAAGATATTCTTCTTGCATTAGTTATTTGAGAAAATGGAGGAAAGAAGAATAGGTTCTTTGTTTTAAAGAAAAATTTAAATTATTTTTTAAGCAAATTTTAAATGAAGTTGCATAATTACCAGTTTTTAGTATCATTTTAAAATTAATATAAACTGAAAAAAAGTGAAACCTAAACAGGGAAAAATAATTTGCTCCCTTCCTGATTTTTGTTTCCAAAACACCTCAATACAAACTTGAAACTTAAGAAAAAAATCATTCTCTTATGTTATTTTGATGAAAAATATGATATGAAGGGCAAAAATATTCTTCAGTTTAGCTAGCTGAATTTAAAAAACCATCCACAAACAACAATTTTTTCCAAAAAAAAACTTGTTGCAGAGACTAGAACTTCTAAATGTTAAATTAGCATAAACAAAAACGGTTCTAAAGATGTTGAGTAAGTGTTTTGTAACAGTAGCTATAGCCAGACACTATATTTTCATGACATTATGTAACATTTTCCACCAATTAAACTAGTAAAATAAAAAAATCAAGAAAGGAGCGAGTATATCATTCTACTTTTCCTGGATTTCACATAGATTAGCTGTTTTCCTCTACATATAGAGGCAACAGAATTTAAAACTATCCTGTTTACATCTATCCCAAATGCAAAGCCTAAGAGTTTACAGGATCTACTTGCCTACAGGAGCAACAACTTTGGAGTGTGTGCCTGGGCAGCTCTGTAACTGTAGCACCCTCTGCTGCTCTTTTAGTTCCAAAACATATAATTGTACACCTAGCCAAGTAGAAAATAAAATGAGTATGTCTTGAACATGTTTTTTGAAAATTAAATTATTAACTAATGCTATGTGCAGTTCACAACAAAATGTTCTGCTATTACATATAGTATATTTTCAATGTTATACTACTTGAGCATCTAGAATATCTTGTTTCTAACATCATCAGACAAAAACCTACTAGATGAACATTCAAAAATATGCTGTATTTCACTAATAAAAATTCTCCTTTACACAGCCTGTAGCTTGCTTAGACTGGGGGCAAATAGTAAAGAGGTTTCTATTTTGGCCCTTTTTATTTCACTTAATCTAAATGTTTACATAATCTGCAATGATTGCTTCTGGGATAGAGTCATAAGCACTTCATTATAACTGCTTTCTCACACCTGGAAAGGCAAGGGAAGGAGACACTCTCAAAAGCTCATCCCTGCAGAATTTTCCTTAATTGTTGGATGATTTCTTCTGCCAGGATGAGCATGTGGTTCCAGGGGCCAGCTGATGCTATCCCATAATGCCACCACCAAACACTCTGCCTGGGATCCATCAGTTCTTTTAAAGGACTGTCTCAGGACTAGAGATGGTGTCAGGTTGTACCCTCTCTTTAACAGATGGCATACTGTTGTCTAAAACGAACAGACTGATCCTTTCCCTCATTCCAGTCCTCTTTTCCCTGCCTCCTGTTTATGCATAGAATTAAAGCTGAAGGAAGTACATTTAGCACTGCATCCTGTCTGTGTGGAGAATTCATTTGGAGTTTTCATGTGGAAACCACTCTCCCACAAAGGATGAGCAGAGAGAAAAAAACTTCCACATTTTTCTGAGAAAGTGAAAACCCATTGCAACTTGTAATGTGAATTTTCATTCACAATGGCAATCCTACAGTGCAAATGCATCTTCAGAAATCTTTTTTTAAAAGGCAGAATACAAGTGTAGGTATACAAATACAAAGTTTGAACGAGCCATTGTGCAGAGGCAATTTTCAAAGTTAACAATTGGGACCCTGCAATACACCACGGACAGCTGCTGCAGCTGGCTCCCCTTTTATCTAGAAGTCTTTCTGGTGCAAGGCAGCATTTTTGGAAGCAATCACAAGTACTCCTCAAAAGCTGCTTATTGATATTTTATATAATGCTGCCAGCTAGTGGCACATCTTGTACTGAGTTGATACCTACTGGGAGTATGGAGACAGTGGCTTTAACTGGAGTCTGCTCTACCACTTCTCTTTTGATGGCATACAGTGATGTGGCTGTCAAAAACCATAAGCACAGAGATCAGCAGGGCAAACAGAAAGAACATAGAAACAGTCCCTGAAAGAGCTTGTTTTAACATAAAGTACTCACTAGAAGAAACAAAAAAACTCCCCCCAAACTACAAAAACCCTGTTATTCGAAAAAAATTATTATGTTTAAAAACAAAGTGAAGTTTTTACAAAAGCTAATCTGTTTCATACAAAATTATTTCATTATTTCTACTAACTTCTAGAAAAAACATTAATCTTGCTGGTAAGTATTCAGTATGGCAACCAAAACAAACAACCAGTACACAAAAACATTTCCCTGTTTTGTGGTAAGTCAGTCCAAGTCATTAAACCTTAAACTTCATTTAAGTGAAGTTTAGTGGCCAGTAAATAAATGCTAGCTATGCAGTGTGCCCCAAAAGAACATAGCACATTGAGTTCTGGCTAGCTCCATTAGTATTAAATATCAGGAGAAATAATCTGATACTGTCAAAGATTATTTCAGAAATATCTGGGGGTTTTTTGAATACACTATGATTTGATAATAAAAAGTTCTTGTGGAACACTACAGAAACTATAAAAACCAGTCAACCTAATTTTAGAAAGACAACAGTAGTTACCTCTGGGGGTAAAAGGAGGCAACACAACACCCTCATAATTTCCCCACAAAGAGGGATAACACAAAGAGAGTCAAGAAATACACAGGAAAAGATTAAAAAAAAGACCAAATTTGAATTAAGGGATAACAGGAGCACACAGAAATTCCATCAGTTATGACCCAAACAGAGCAGCTCACTAAACATATGACTGGGAGAACTTCACTATGATGGTGTAGCAGGCACAAAGTTATTCTGGCTTGGATACTGACAACATCTACTCCATACAGGTGGTAGCAAAAAAGTGTGATTATTGCACTCCAAGCCAGTAGTGCCTGCTGCCAGAAGATGATAATTTTACAGTTATGCTAATAGAGTGTAATCTAGAGTGCATAGTAAAACAGGCATAAATCAGTAATATGTAGATCCATACAGACAGACACTTACAGACAAAGATATTTAAAAATAGGGAAGCAGTGAATCTGGAAATGACTTGGCAAACACTGTATATAATAGCACGGCATGAACCCTCAAAGCAATTCTGAATCCAAAAGGACAAATGCGAATCTTTGTATAAACAGAGAAACAGTGAGAACCACAAATGTCATATTACTCTGTGTTAGCACTGGTGGTGTGCCTATTAGAGTGTAAGTCTCGTTCCACCATCTGCAATCAATACAAAAGTAGCTGAAATACTGGAAGAGGAGCTGACAACACATCTATCAATAGGAAAGCATACAAGAACTTTAGCAGAATAAATTCTTTGTGTTAACAAGGAAATCTGTGTAGATTGAGTACAAACTCAATACCCACACAAAGAACAAGAAATCCTGTTACCATATTACACTGTACTGATTCATTACCTGAGGCACATTTAGACACACACAGAGGAAATATTTTCTCTGCTGATCAAAAGAAATACTTAAGTTGTTATATAGTTAGAACTAATAGAATTAATGTTTATGAAAACATAGCTTTGGAATACTAAGACTGGAAATTTGAGATGAAACATATATATCAAAACAGTTCTATATCATTGGCTTGAGGGGGGAGGAAATATGTGTATATTTCTTTAACATCTGGCAAACTTTACCAACTTATTCTATCAGTTTTCTTCTTTGAAAACAAACAAACCAAGGTGAAAGATAAAGCAAATAACCAAACAACAATTACATGTATATCTCTAAACGTTAATTATATAATAGTAATTACTCATCACACCAAAAATGTTTCAATGTTGGCTCAGCTTTGTTTCCACCACCTACCACAATTTGATAATTCAAGTCCATTAATAGCATAGATCATTTTATTAACAAGTATACTGAAGCAGAGCCATACTGGGTCAGGCATTGATGGCCCACTTAGAGCTCATCTTGCCTCAGGTTAATGCAGCCAGTAACTGATGCTTAGACAAGAGTGAAAGATCAGGACAAACATATCATCCCACTGCCCCATTAATTCTCCTAACACCCAGCACTTCCTAAGCCATAAGTGATGTCTGTATATTTAATAGTCACAGTAAATTTTTCTTGCACAATTTCTTCCCTTTTTTGAATTTATTTCATGTTTTAGGATCCAAAACATTCTGCAGGGAGGAATTTCACAACTTGACTGAGTGCTTTCTTTTGTGTTTCTCTGGTCCAAGTTTGTTCTCTCCGAGCTAGAAGTACCCCTGATTGCTTCCCATCAGTTGCTGCACTGCTGGCCCCTGGCCAACACAAATCAATGGGCTAAACTAATGTTCTATCCACTCCAGTCCAGTTGCTCTAATGTTCCCACCATAGCCACAACCAGAAATAACCTGCACTGGGAGAACTTAAGGGTGTATCCAACACAAACAATGGTGCTACATAAAACTGTAATGCTGTGGTAACCCTGACCACAGTAACGGAGTTTCCCAGCTAAATTAAATGGTTATTGAGGGCTCATATAGAAATGCTTTATATTGGTGCAGTTAGACTTTTATCAACATAGTACTGTACTTAAATAAACAGTAACTTACAGACATTCCCCGTGTTGTCAAAACTTGTAAGAACATCTTTAACATTTAAGAGGCCATTGTGAAATCTGGAAGAAAACAAAAAAAAGCAACTTTACTAATACATAAACCATCAGAAAAAAACCATCTTCAAAAAAGAGATTTACTGTATGCATTCACTTCTCACCATCCCCTTTCACAGTGAAGCAGCAAAAAGGTACTACTGTAGCCACCAGGGGGAAAACAAGGGGACAATCACCAGTCTGCAAAGTCCCAGCACTGAAATCCATTCATCAGGAGGATTGTGTTTCTCAGAAACTACTATCAGCAGGAAAACATTACGAAGGAGCATCAATTTTTATTTAGTTGTGGAAGTTACATAGAAGAAAGGAGGAATTTTGGTAAATCAATTTCTTTGAAAGGGAAAATCCATAAAGTATTTTTGAACAGCAGCTGAATGCACATTCCTATTTTCTCCCACAAAATCAAGAACACTTAATTAGGTTCATGCTAATTAATGTGTTCAGTTAACTGCATTTTTTTTTGGTTTTACATTTGCATAACCCATGCAAAATGAACATTTGAGAGTGGGGATAATAAATTAATTACCTATATTTCATACATCAACTGCAAATTTTAGAATGCTGTGAGCAAAACACTGACAGCAGCAGAAAGAATAAGCACCAAAACTGAATAAAATTTACCTAAGATTTGCCTTCAAATGGGCAGTGGCACATACATAAAAAAGCATCTAATTTTGTTTTAATTATTCCAAACTAATCTAAGCCCAAAATGAACAAAATATTAGTCTCACACTTTACAACAATCAGATTACACAGCTGTTTCACAAATGCATGAAAGAAAATCTAAAAGGAATTCAGCAAGGCAGCAAAATATGAAAAATATAGGGTTTTAATAATGTTTCAAATACAGCTTCTAAGGCTGTTTGGGAGCACATTAATTTGAAATACTAAAAAAAATCCAATAAATCCCAGAATTTTAGCACCTACAAAATTAGTTCTCATTGCCTCAGCTGTTCTTTCCTGAAGAAAGACTGCTGTAAGAATGGGGGGAAAAAATCAATCATTCTGCAAACATGAAATTGCATAATTATTGTGAAAAGCCCACTATTTATAGCTTCTGATAAGCATAACCATTAAATAAATAAATATTAACAAGTTAAATTCTGAAAAGCACCAAACAGCAACTAGACAAATTCTTAAAAAATGAAAATTAAATGGAAATCAAATTAACAAACTGAACTGAGCTCATCAGAAGCCACAAAGAAGTACATGAGAGATGTTACAAAAGATACAGCTGGACATGAGTGCTCTTCTCCCAGGTACACAAAACCAAACCAAAATTACATGCCTTCTCTGCAGAGGAAGTCTACAAGAATGCTGATGGATCATACGGATTGTTAATGTAGTTCTTTTTTGCAAGTGTGTTTTCCATCAAATTGGACACCCAATTCAACAGAGCTGGTGCAAGAGAAGTAACAAGAAAGGAGATAGGTTTGGTAGTTCTGCCATCCACAGAGGGCCCTTTAAACTCTCCCCTGCTGACTCCTCAGAACTCTATAAACTCTGTAACTCTGCCTATGTCTGGGGCTGGTGGGGTCTCTTACACAACTGTGAATGTCTCATCTCTAAATGAATGCAAATGGAGGGTGGGAGATGCTGAGGAAGTAAAGAAATATTTTAATCTCTGTTGGCATGCAGGGTAGTCTTGGGATAACATGTTTTGGTTTCTTTTTCCCCCCCCCTCGATTTCTTAATGTACATAGTTCATATCTAAAGGAGATTTATCATGTAACTCTCCAAGTGAAACAAACAAAGATAAGAATAAAAATTTAGTAGTCTAGTACCAGTAGTTAACGGAATGAAGAAAGAAAAACAGAAGTAAGTGAAATGTCCGGGTCTAGAAAAGAATACAATTCATATACTTAAGGGTCAAAAGGTAGGGAAACACAAAAAGGAGAAATTATAAAACCCAGCACTAGCCAAAACTGCTTAAAATTTGTGGAATCCAAAAACTGAGGAATTCAGCATAATCTCTTCCAGCAGACAAGTTTTAGGACTGAAGAAAGCAACATGCCAACAGCTGATCTACTTGTGGAAGGGACAGTTCAGGAAAACACACTTCCAAACAGCAATAGCCATGTTTCTCCATTTGGAGATCTGTACTTGTGGAACCTGCAGACAAACTCTGCACCAAGCATTCCCCAACTCTCCCATCACAGCCTTTACTCACAGACTTCAAGTTACATGCACCTGTAAACACAGGTGTTATCTAACCCCAAATTCTGCCATAAATAGTGTGCTACTCAGTCCTGCACCTAAAAACCAGCGCCTGTAGTTTGGGATTCGCTGCCCTCCCTGCACATGCATCCTCAGCAGTTCTGCAGCAGCTGCTGCTTCACTGTCCCATCCCATCAGCTGCTCCTCCACCAGCAAAGCCAGAGAAAACTGCCAAGATACAGCACATCTTGCTTTCATGAGTGCCTGTCACCATCACAGCTTTCCCAGTGCAGCTGACAGAGTCTTAAGTGTCATGTGCACTGAATGATTAAAGTCAAGGAATCACAGAAGCTTGGGATTAAACCCCAACCCTTAAATTCCCATAATTTCCACAAGTATCTCAAAATATGGAAGAACATTAGTATTCAGTTCTTTAGAACATGTCACTGATGTCATTCAGTTCAAAGTTCAAAGCTTTGATTGCTGAGATCAACAAAGTCCTTCAAAGAAGCACAGGTAAGCATCATGGAAAAAGTGAATTTCAGGCTGGCGTGGTTAATCTGATTCACAGTGTTCTTACAATAAGTCTCCAAGGAACAACAGGCAAAAATTTCTATGGCTGAGGCAGTGAGTAATAGCAGACAAATCTATGAACAATAAACTAATTCAACTCATGTTTCTCCTGATACAAAGCAAAGAAGAATTCCTTACTCTGAACTACAAATAAATCAGCAGAGATGAAGTCAGAGAGAGTGAGATCAACCTTTAAATATATTAATGTTCCTTCCTCTCCAATTCAGGCAACACAAGTGGCAGACTTTTCCATGTATATAAAAATAGCTACGGATAGTACAAAAAAAGTCTTTCAGTAGGTGCCTATTAAGGCATGCGCTTCATCAACCATAATGAAACAAAAGTTAAGTTCCTTCTTTCCTTTTATATTATTCTTAAACTGTGATGAAAAATAACACAAGTAAGCATGTGCCTATATTAACTTTAAAAACCTACAAAATCTAAGATAGAATACATTTCCACATAATATGAAAAGGGGAAAAACACCAAACACATCACCATAAACTATTAACCTATGTACAAATTAAAAGTATATTTGTGAAAAATGAAAGATGGAATAATGGTAAAAAATTACTGTTAAGGGTACTTCACAAAAAGGCTTGTTGTACATCACTATCAATTGTCACTGTGGCCCACTAAGAACCTGAGTTATCTGCAAACTTTGCTCTCTATCAGATGCTCTTTCTGTGCCAGAGTATTGCAAAAAAAAGGCAACTCTTCTTTCATTCCAGTTCTAGATCCCAGCTTAATATGGCAAGAAACTGAAACAAAGGTTCTTCGACTACAGGTTTGTTTTTTTTTACAGACATCTTGGGCAATATGGTGGAGCAGCCATTGCTTGATCAGTGAATAAAAGAAGTATGTTGCCAAATCACTTTTCATCTTTCCTCCATTTCCAGCTCCTGGGGCCAGCCCTTTATGCTGCTAAATTCACACAGTCTCTTAGCAAGCAATACATGGAAAAAAGCAAGTTTGTCATATCCACATGAATTGTCCATAAGAAGTAGGCAATATTCACTGAAATTTGTTTCCCTTCACTTTTTTAATCTCTACCCCTAAAATAAAAAGCTTTAAAAAATTGAAAATATTATTAGGAGAAATATCCAAGAGGAATAGCCAATGGAATTCAGTCCTATACCATCTTCTAACACAGCTTGCACAGACAAGTAGTGTCTCTGCATGCCCCTCATTTCTAAACCACAGGCCTAGAATCATCTAATAGTTTCTGTCATATTTTTATCTGCAGGTTCATTCATATTCAGAATAAAGGCATGACATCTTGCAAAGTACACTAAACACCTTTTACAAAGATTTAACCCTTCCTGTAACCTGCTGACATTGTTCCTTTCAGTTCTGTACTTTAGTATTTGAAACAGCAAATGACTGATCAATGGAAAATATTTTACCACAGAAATAACTTATTTCTGCACTGTTTTCTTAAAATGAGCCTACAATTTAAAAGCAAATCCATATCCTGAAATAGAAAACTTGAAGATATTGATTGCTCCTTTTTTAACTCAAATAAAAGAACAATTTTCCTATCTAAAAGGCAGGCACCATCTCCACAGTGAGACACTGCATCCTTATGATCTGTAATCACTTCATTGCTAAAACTATTCATACAAAATTCAAATTTAAAAGCACATTCCTGATGAAGAATACAAGGATTTAGAAAGGCAGTATTAAATAAATATTTTTAATAGTTCTATGTACTTACTATATATTTTCCTATCTCTAAGAAAACACATATTGAGCACATGCATAATTTTTCAACAGCAGAGTGAAGTACTGCCACAATTAAGAAGAACTCGAAAAAAGCTAACAAACACACCTGAAAGTTCTAAAAATAAAAGCACAGGGGAGATATGGAGACGGTGGTGCTGTCTGTCCAGCTGCAGTGCTTATAGCTCCCCCTGGGGATGGATGAGGAGCCAAGCGAGAGCTGATGGGTCAGGACCGAGGGGAGGGCAGGGACTGGTGACATTTACAGTGGGGCTTTGCTACAGGGGCACCAACAGAGGAAACCCTCTGCAGACAGGGAGAGGAGCAGCCTTGCATTCCCAAGCCCTGGTCTCCATGGGGACCTTCCACCACCCCCATAGCTGTTGGAGGGACAACATACCGGGGCATAAAAATTCCAGGAGGTTCCTGAAATGCTTCTCTGTTCAAGAGCAGCTGACAAAGAGAAATGCTGTGCTGGACCTTGTTCTTTCCAACAAGGAGGGGCTGATGGGAAATGTGAATCTCCAAGCAAGCCTTGGCAGCCAGGACCATGAAATGGTGGAGTTTGAGATCCTGAGGGCAGTGAGAAGGGTGCACAACAAGCTTGCTACCCTGGACTTCTGGAGAGCAAACTTTGGCCTCTTCAGGGATCTCTTTGGTAGAATACCATAGGATAAAGACCTGGAGAGAAGAGGGGCCCAAGAAAGCTGGCTGATATCCAAGGATGACCTCTGGAATGGTGCATCCTGAACAAGAGGAAGTCAGACAAGAAAGCCAGGAGGCCTATGTTGATGAACAAGACACTCCTTGACAAATTCAAACACCAAAAAGAAACCTACAGAGTGTGGAAGCAAAATCAAGTAGCATGTGAGAAATACATAGAAATTGTCCAAGCATCCAGGGTTCAGGTCAGGAAAGATAAAGCTCAATTAACATCATCCAGACAAGTATGCAGTGTGTAGGAACATCAAATACAATACAAATCCAGACGACACTGTACTAAGCAAATGAGGTTTTTGATTCTAACACAAGAAATTTCATTTTCACTGCTAACAAAACCCCACACTCACCAGACACCCCTTTTGATACCCCAGAGTTACTGTGAAGCACCTTAGTACCTAAACAAACTTTGAGACCATGTTCCACCATGTATTATAAATTTATATTTCATTAAGCACACTTAACCAGAAGAGTTACGGAGATTTTTAAAATGAGTCAATGATATTTCACTGCAAGGATCTAGTCAAAACAGCACCTAAATTCAGCTTAAATTTTTTAAGCTGAAAATTGCCATATACTGGGAGTTTCGGCTTTCTGCTTTGGAAGATTTGTTATGAAGAATGATGCAGAAAAATATAAACTAGTGACGGAAAAACATGGCATAATATCTTCTTTCTGAGATATGAATCCAGCCTGAATTTATTTAGAGAAACAGCAAAACCAACAAACTTTAGAAAAGCACACACATGACTGGTAGTTCCTACAAAAGCTTCTATTTTCCTGACAAACTGGTCCCAAGCCCCTCTAGAGCAATAATTCCAGCTAGGTCATAGCATATCTGAATATACAATTTTATCAGTTTTGACAGCCCTTGAACTGATACAGCTTGACCTTTATACTCTTTGCCAAAAGCCACTAACAACCTTATGAACTTTCTTAAGTATTTAGTTTCGTCAAGATATTAGCTGACAGCCCTTTTAACATTGAACATATGCAATGAGCTTTTCCAAGAAGATGTTAATGCACAAGGAAAACAAATGTAGATGAAAATTCCAAAGCACTTTTGTCAAGACTTTAGAGAGGATATAGCAACATTTTTTTTCCTTGACAAAAAGCTATAAAAACATTTTCCTATTCAAGCATGCTGTTCTGGATTTACCTGACTGGAGCTATTGTTAATATTATGCTCTTGTTAACTTGCTAAATTGTTTCTGCTGTTAAATATTATTATAAATAAAATTTTGCCAGTGGACAGAGAAAAACCAGGGATAGACTGTCAGACATACAGAGAGTGCTTAAGTTTCCAACATATGATCAGTTTCCAAAGATCCAGGAATGCTTACTCCAAGAATTTTTATCTTTTAGATATGTAAGTTTCAGCAAGAAGAACTGTTGCTTTGTTATGTACCTTAAACTGTTAGGCTGATCCCCTAAATTACTGCTTTTGCAAAAATGGGGAAGAAACTTGATTTAACACTGACTCATGGTAAAGTCAATTTTGTTGCAGTCTATTTATACCTTGTTCCTAGCAAAACCCACAGTATTTTCTCCTTCCCCTCTTCATCTCCTGCAATATTCTGAAATAGTAAGTACACTCTATGTATTGTCACTGCTTCTGTGTGGAGAAAACATTTTAATATAGAAGTGTGTAAGACTAAGCAAGTTCTGATCATTATTCCTAAAATGATCAGTGACTACTATTTTTAGAGGTCACTGAATATCTTTTGGAAAGGAACAAATGCAGGGAAAACATAAAATAAAAATCCCATCAGAAGACAATGTCCATATTCTCCTCAATATTCAGTTTTGGAAATGTGGTGTGAGCCTGCTCCAGCACAGAATCTATACATTTCCACTGAACAGGATTAAAGAAACACAATAAAATAACACATAAATAAACTGCTCTTGGTCAAAGTCTATAGTTGAGCTGTGTCCTATTATCAATGAAACTACTATTAGGTAAATAATACCAAATAAAATGATGGCATAGAAAGTGTTGGAAAGAGAAGCACACAAATGCCAGAGCAGGATCAGTCTGACATCCCCTTGGCTTCTGTACTGCCAGCACAGGTGAACCTTAGCTCATCTCCTACCTTGAAAGTCCAGAACAAGTAAATCAAGTGGCAGCGAGTGCTGCAAGCCATGACAGTGAAGTAAAGGAGTGCAGGGCTGCATTGTAAGGGACTGCAGCCTTGTTCAGCCCAAATTCTACCTAAACACCTTGTGCTTCCTATCCCCAGTGTGCCTCTGAGGACCTAGAAACAAGGAATAGGGACACTGCACCAAAGGCATTATGTAGACTGGCAGTGTTTGAATTAATCCACAGCATTCACTGGTGCTTTACAGGAAAAGTCTATACATGGGAAAACACTGCACCTACTTCTATTACAAACAGCAGTTTTCCAGTGGAAAAGTTTCCTTTTGAACCCTTTTAACATCCCTGAGTGTAAGCCTGGAAAATGGAAAATTAGGAGTTTATAAAGCTCTAAAGAATTTTGTTCTGGACTTTACATCCAGATGCAAACTTAAAATGCCTGTAGTGTTGTGGGGTTCCTCTAGTTTGGTTTTTTCTCATTGGTTCATTTTAAAACTTTGCAAAAATGCTGCAGTTTAATGATGATCACATTTTTGTGTTAGATCTTAATTCCTAAGCTTGACTTTGAAGTCTCAGGTAAACAAAAATGCACTTCTTGATTTGGGCTCTCCAGAAGACCTTCCACTGCGCAGACAATGCAAAATCCTCCACCTTCAGAGATGTAATTAGCTGCTGCAGAACAAGCACCAATTCAGGGATTCTTAAGTTACTTTTGCAAACTTCCTGAGGCAAACCAAGTAAAGTAGATACAAAACTGAACCTGGAAAAGAAAACCAAAACAACAGAAAAGAAAAACAGAAACAAAACCCCTCAAACACAGTAATGAATGAGAGTTACAAACAAAGCTACTGAGAATTCAGTGAAATTACTTCAGAAAGTTTTTTGGAGGGGAAGTAAGCTTTCTGTTGCTCTGTTTGTGTGCATGTGGGCTTTCTATTTGTCAATTTCTTTAATAAAAATAATCTGCCTCAATATAAGATTACTTTATTAAGTATATATTATTTTGTAGGAATTTGGCTGCCAAATTATCATTGAGTTTTTTAAAATAGCACTAAGAAGAAAACTGAATAAAATTACCAAAAGCCTTTTAGAACACCATTAATAACATCATGTCATAAAAAATTTTAAGACCATAAATAACTGTCTTCCGGTTTTTTATATCCTACGTATAACTGAAGAATGTCAAAACAGGAAGCTGTTAAAATATAAAATATATGCTCATATTTGCATTCTGTTTTAGCTACAAGCATCAGTATTTTCAGTCAAGCTCTGCCACTTCAGTGAAATGTACCAGAAAGAAGAGTCAGACAAGCTGCTTACTGTGACAAACAACTAAAAATAACATTTACCAGTTTATTTGTAAACTATGCCCTAGTTACACAAAACGGTGGAAGAATGACTAATGAGTTTTATATTTGAAGCCCATTCAAGATCTTACTTAAAATTTAAATTGTGGTTACCTTAAGGAGACACTGTACTTGGGATAAAAGATGCTTCTATACTGAACCCAGGTCCCAGTTTCCTCTTCTGTACTCTGGTCTTCTATTGAAAAGAGATTGAATGATGCAAACCTTCTGACAGACACTTGTTGGAGATGCACATCTTTCAAGTGCTTTTTCCTCAGAACCTTTGAAGTGAAGAACGAAATAAACATTAAAAATAAAACAATAAAACAAGAAAATAACAAACCCATGCCTTTTTGAGTGAAGAGGGAAACCATAATGGATATGCTATCAGCTAGTAGTTATGAATAACAAAGTAAGTCAGGCCTGAACAAAATACAGTGGTATTGATGGCAGGAGTCAAGAGAATGAGTTATGAATTACGTCTCAGTAACTAAAACAAATGCACTGTATTCAGAAGTACACAAAATTGATTTTTTAACTCAAGCTCCAGAAAACCCATGCAAAAATTAGAGGGCCAAACTGGGTTCTTCCCATCCTCTCATTTGACCAAGTTTCACAGCCCAAGCCTTGCCCTCCCCAAGCAATTTCTGTGCCACTCACTGTCCCTATAGAGGGGGAAAAGATCAACAACAAAGGAATCTTTTGTAGAATTAAAATGACAAACCCAAAACATGATCTTCAGGTGCCAGAGTGCTGTGTGTTCCCCTGATAGATTCCTTCCTAGCCTAGAAATCTTCTGCTGCACACTTGCAGAGATGCTGCCAAAGTTCCCTAAGCTGAAAAAAATTATTCCTGTCCCAGGCCCCAGACTTTCAGACACCACAACTCTACATTCCCCAACCAGGCCCCCACAAGGGGACTGACACATGAGCCAAACTCCAGGCGAGCCCCAAAACACTCTGAGAGCACCAAGTTCAGTGCTGAGAGACTGAGGAATGACATCTGCATTTCTTAAATGATTCAAACACTTGTTCAGGAGAGTGAAACCGTGGGCTCTCTGTGCTGCCCAGTCTGCTGCACTCAGCCATCTTCAGGGAGTGAGGCACCAACCCCTCTGTGCAGGGGAACCCAGCACCCAGCTGCCTGAGCTGTGCCATTGCTCACAAGACAGCCAGCACTTCCCTGCCAGACAAAAAGATTTATTTCTAAGGGCAGTGATGTGGAAGGAAAAGTGTCCTAGATTTAACTTCTTTCTCCTAACATTGGAGAGAATACATAAATAATTGCCATTGCATTTTTAAAATTAAGGTGCATATGCAGTCCCCAGTAATGGATTAAAAAACAAAAAATAAACCAAACCAAAACAAAGAAAAACAGAGCAGAAAATAAACTCATGCCTATAAATTGATAGGGGTACAAGGAAGAGCTCCATTTAGTAGAACAGCAATTTACAAGTTTTTGTCACCTAGAGATAAGTCAAATGAGAAACAGCTCTCAAGAATTATGAAACTTGAAATAGAAGCTTAGCATACAGGATGTGTACAAAAAAAAAAAAAAAAAAAAAAAGAAAGAGAGTCAGTGATTTTTTTTGCTATACCCAACCATGCTTTAACTGAAAATGTACTCCCATTTAAAAGCCTTACAGTTTGGGGCCATGATCTGTTATTTTGCAGGACATTTGGAAGTACTACATATGTGAGCAGAACAATTTTTTTTGGTGCTTAACAGCAGGTCTGAGACATCAGGCTTACTGCTTTTGGAGCTATTTTCATTGGCAGGTAGGTCTCATCACATGACAGGCATTTTTTATGAAGTATTAAAAATGTCTGGGTGCTGTCCACACTACCTTGTAACACATGAGAAAAATACACACATGAATGAAAAATGCAAAAATATCAAAGCAGAAAATTAAAAGACCAGCAAAATTAAGATCTTCATGTATTAGCTGTGTGCCTGAAAACAAAATATCTTGGCTATCTTGACAACTAAAGAAAACCAGCAAGACCTACTTTTCAGAAAAGTGTTTTGTTTGGGGACTTCTTTAAAGCAATAGCAAGCCATTATCAACAGGAAAAAAAATACAGTGGCAACAACACTTTCCTATTTTCAGTTTTTGTTGTACAGAGACATCTTATAGCCACTCTGTAAAATTCAATTTAATTCTCTGGGTTAGCAGAAAATCTCATGAGCATTTGAATACTCAAAAGAACATTTCTCCCACAGCCTCAAACAAAAATCAAGTGGTCTAATATCTGAAAATTACGACAGCAGGTCAAATATTTTAAAACCCTACATGTAACTGAGAAAATAGCACAAATGGAGAATATGTTACATCATTTATATCTAGCTCTGTACTTTTTACATATGGATCAAAGGGGTTTTTTCTCAAGTCTATTCCTAAAAGGACCACAGTTATGTTAAACAGGGTACAAAGATAAATTGCTGCTATAGAATAACCCACTGATAAAAACAAAAGGTGACAAACCTATCTTAATTCATCACCAAAAATGTTCTACAAATATTCTAGTACCACAGATCATAATTTCAATGCCCTTGGTTTAATCACAGGATTAGTACCATGTTTAGGACTTCCTGTAAAACCTAAAACTGGTTGATATCTCTTTAAAAGAAGCTCACCAAAAAACAATCCCCCACAAACAACATGGAGAAAGGCAGTCACCTGAATTTCCCTGTACTTGTATATTCTTGTGTTAGGCCCAGTTGCACTAAGAGCCAAATTCAGTAACAGCTCATGGTCTACAAACCTCTGCCAGTTCTCTGGCAGTGACTGCAACATGGTATTTTGTACATGCAAGAAAGTTTCTACACAATCAACTACAACATAACCTGTAACTGCACTCTAAATATCATCCATAGGACTATAGTACTTATTTTTACAAATAATTTTTTTACCAAATTGTTTTATCCAATTGTAAACAATTTACAAACTCAAGACTAACAAAGACATGGAAAAAAGATCTGAAGCACAGGCACCCTTCACAGAGAGAAGAGAAGGAAGAGATGAAAATTAGTTTTAGAAATGCTTCTGTTCAGGAAAAGAAGTGTCACTGACCTGTCCTAACTTTAGCTTTTATTTTTCAATTTTGGAAGTTAAAGTACATTAGCAGGTGACAACATATTCTCAGGCATGTAGTGTGGCTCTTGGGGATGGCCCTGTGCAGGGCCAGGAGCTGAACTTGATGATCCTTGTGCCTCCTTTCCTGCTCAGCATAATCCGTGATTCTGAGACTTGAGCGAGAACAGCAAGAGGAAGGTAACAGGCAGGATAAATAAAAAAGCTTACAGATTTCATGAAACTTTCTCTAGGGAGCAAATGTACATATGGGGAGGAACCTAAAGCATGCCAGTTGCTCTAACTTCCCTGCTGAAAACTACTGACTGGATAATGCCTTCAGCCTTAGGGAACTTATCCAGTCATTTACAAATGCACAGTAAATGGGTAACTTCCCTTAGCATTTTTTCAAATGCAAAAAATACTTCTCTTGATTCTGACAGACTAAGTTTAAAAATATTGTCAAACTTCAAACTCAGTGCATACATAAAACATTTCATTGATAAAGAGCACACAGGTAATTATGCAAACCCCTGCTTCTTTATGCTAGCTTCATAGGATACCTCATAAAAGGGCTTTTTTTTCTTAATTAAATCAGCGAGCATGCACTCAAGAATCCTTACCATAGTAAATCAATTTGTGTGTGCATTGAATGAAAGCAAATTCAAGATATAAACACACCACAGAACTGATTTCACGTAAGGCGTTATTATAAGCAGTATGAAAAGTGCTTTTAAAAGCATTGTAAGAAACACTTTGACAGTGCTCCTTTAAAAACGGATTTAAAGGGAGGTTGATACCTTCTTCCAATCCATAGATAGATCTGAGCACCACTGTAGCAAAGAGCACAGAACTGATTTTTACTTCAGATGTACCAGTAAGATTAAATTGATCCTTGCTCATTGTACCATATAAAAATCAACAGAAAAGCTAAAGAACATGGAAAAACCAAGAGAATCTGCAGAGGTAAAGGTCACAGATACATGTAGTTTGAGAACAAAAGAGAAGCCTTCTCCCCAAATACCTACATGCACTCTTCCACAACCCCACTCTATTGTTATGAAAAGTTCCTTATGATTTTAAGAGACAGGAGTATGCCAAAGGCAGTGTATGTTGAGAAGAAATAACAGCTAGTACAGCCACAGAGTGCAGCTTATATAGGCTGCTGGAACAGAAACCTACAACGACAAACCTGATACTCCTACTAGTAACTTTGACATTTCCTCCTTTGGAGTATAATAAAACAGAAGCTGGTCCTGTTGAACAGGACTGGCAAATTTTGAAACCAAAAGCGCACACAAAGTGCAATATTGATGTCCCCGGGCCTCTCACCGTGACCCAGCTGCAGCCAGGTGCCCCTTCCAACCCGGCTGCCACCACTGACTCAGTGCCACCCCTCTGCCCTGTCAGGGACAGCTGTCCACAGGCGGCTCCAGATGTCCTCTGAAAGGACGGAAACAAACACTCAAGTAGGGCTGTCAGTTTCACAAAAACAGCCAATGAAACTGACTAGAATTTTTAAGCCTTTAGCCTACACTCGTCTGAAGAGGAATCCTTTCCGACCTTGCACTGCTCTGAAAGAGTCTAAAACAGTGTGGAGGGCTGCAGCTGAGGAGCTGCTGTTTACCACAGCACAGGTGTCACCACTTGCTCCTTCTTCCTCCTCACCTTCCTCCAGGCACAGCCCCTCAGCAAAATGCAGCTTTCACTGCCAGGCGAGCGGGGTCTCACCCCAGCTCCCCACCAAAGGCAATCTGGGGGGTAGGGAGCAAGGAGCAGGAATGAGGTGTCAGCCACAACAACCAGCCCCAGTGGCATCGATGGAAGGTGTCAAACTACGGCCTGAAAATCCCAAGGTGCCCTCAGGGGTGAGGGTGCCAGTGGGGTGCTGGTCCTCCTCCCTTAACACAAGCCATGGACAGTTTTGGGAATCTACTGAAGGTACATTTTAGAATCATAAAATCACAGAACAAGCTGAGTTGGAAGGGACTCACCAGGACCATCGAGTCCAACTCCTGGCCCTGCACAGGACACTGCAAGAGTCACACTGTGCGCCTCAGAGCATTGTCCAAACTCTATCAGGCTTCAATCCTATCAGGCTTGCCAAACACCACTTCCCTGGGGAGCCTGTTCCAGTCCCCAGCCATCCTCTAGATGAAAAACCTTATTCTAACATCCCACCTAAACCTCTCTTGTGCAACTTCAGGC